AGCACCACTATCAGAAAGGAAGCTTATCTTCGCATCGGTAAAGTCCCATCAGTATTTATCAATCTGAGGCACTTGTGGAGTCATCGTGACGCTTCGACAAAAGGCCGCACTTACAGTGCCTCTGTTCGTTCATTGTTGTTGTTGTATAGAAACGAGTCCTGGCTAATTTGCGGGGAGGACATGCGTCGTCTTTCTGCCTTTGAGAACGGTTGATTGTGAAAGATTGCTCGTGTGTGGTGGCGACATCGAGTTTACAGTGATGATGTGAGTATTCCCTTCAACAAGCTAGACTTGCTGTGCCAGTTTAGATGGCTTGGTCACGTCTTCCGCATGGCGCCACGAGATTGGATTTTAACGTAGTGCGACAGTTTGCGTACCGCTTTGACCCATTGAGCTATACTGGGTGATGCCTCCGAGCATCTTGAGAGCTACTCCTACCAGGTTGGTGAATGGTGTGAGGTCAGACAAACTCAGTCTCCTGGTCTTTCAGTTTGGGGGTTTGAAATGGAATGGCGTTCATTTCTCTAAAACTAAATCATCTCCAACTCCCCACTGCCTTGCGGACAGGCTTTTGAGCCAAAGGCTTTGGATAAGGGCCCTATCTTCCTCCTGTCTAGGTCTGGGCACCCTGGCAGCATCTCAGCCAACAAACAACCATGACTTTTTCTTCAAAAATAAACTTCATACTGCATTGACCGTCGCGCAGATTATCAAGGATCACCTTATCTGCCGCATACAGCAGGGCAGACAAACGAAAACTTGCTACTGCTGCTGCCTCCCTTTTTTCTTCTCTACTTATTTCTCTTACTCCCATCCCGATCCCTATTATTAACCTTCCTTCTATAACTTCCAGCTTAATTGACAGCAACCAAAGTGCCACTGGAGTAGAACCATCTGCAGCCACCTTCCCACAACACCCATCGGACGTTTATCGGCAACAGTCCCTTATAAGACCACGCTGTCCCGTTTTGATGACGACGTTCAACGTTCGCACTCTAAGACAAATAGGTCAACAGGCTGCACTCGCACTCACCTTGGACACACTGGGTATTGATGTGTGTTGTGTGTCCGAAACTAGGATCAATGACCCTAATGAGGCTGTTGAATTAATTGCACCCGGCTTATCGTTATTGGTTGCACGCATCCGGAAACGTCGATGCAGCACTCACGGATCAAGCTGGTGTAGGTATCATTGTAACCTCCAAGGCTGAGTCATCGTTGGTTGATTGGATTCTGGTGAACAGCGGTCTATGTGCAACCCGTTTGACGACATTAGCTAAGGTTTATTCACGAAACAGTCCAAAACGCTGTTTGTGTGTTCCGCTTATGCTCCCACCGACTGTAGTTCAAATGCTGTCAAGGACATTTTATCACGAACTGAACGCGCTATTACACATTGCTACTAGTTCAGATATTGCAGTACTTGCAGGGGATATGAACGCACTAGGGCGTATGAGCTCTTCAGAAACTCAGCTGGGTGGTAATTATGGGCTTAACTCCAAACGGACTGACAACGGCGAGTGTTTCCTGCAACTGTGTGCGGAGCACCGGTTGTTTCTAAGTATCACTGCTTTTAGACACAGTGGGTGACGAAATGCCACTTGGTGTCCTCCTGTAGCTGACCAGCGATGGACCCAAATTTACCACGTTGCCATAAGTTACATGTGGCGTGGTTCCATTCTGTATTGCTGCTCGTACTGGAGTACCTGTATCGACTCTGATCATGCCTTGGTACGCTGTCGTTTCCCCATGAACTTTCAGATTAATGCCTGACTTACGTCATTGTTATTGGTTGCTGCTTAAACGACTGAACTATGGAAAAATTTGAAGTGGAGGAGGAACTCACGGGCGAGAAAGGACACCGTTCACGCCTTTATGTGCAGACGTTTCTTTCGACCACCCTAGTAATGGTTCTTTAGGGTTCTCACCTCCTGTCCTTAACTAAATTCCCTTCCCCAAAGGATAACGGGGTAAGTGTTTGAGAGACGCTGCTTGCATTATTTATCTCGATAATACTACTCGTAAACTGGTGGGGAGCAAAAACAGATCGATGATTGCCACTGCGTGGTCTCACGAAGACTATGAGTTATTTAAAATAATTTACTTTCATCTTTGGTTATGGCAGTCACTACAACTGCGGAAACGGTCAGATGCAAGTCAGTTTCGGTAGATTTGCTATGTACTTGAGCTCACAATCCATATGTTATTGTCTATATGGTTAAACCTTATGGAAAGTGGTCCATAGACCTCTTACTTCCTTGTGAGTGGCCCTGAGAATTTCCATTGAGCATGGCTTAATAGGTTACCCATGTGCGCATACTGTCCTACTGCAGTAGCGTGACGCCTCATTGCCTTGTTTGCAGATTATAGAGGTGACGGCTCTAAGCTTCTGTACAAAGATAGCAAACAATAAATTCCTGGTAGACCTGCTTGAAAAGCTTCCCTCTTGCCTTAGAGTAGAATGGGTTGCCCCGCACAACGAGAGACGTAAGATTGCGAATTCGTTCCATCTTGGATGAGCTCCGAATATCTTGTCGTAGTTTTCACAAGGTTCTTTAGTCGGTCCCGCTCGGTTTTCAAACCAGGATTCAAACACCTGCACTCTGCGAGTGTTCTGCACACCTGGCTTGCAATCATAAGGACATCGACTCGAATCTGCGTATAGGTGGGTGTCTTCGAGGCATACTCACCCCACGCGCGACTGGTGGTGGTCGCGCGGCAACAAAGTGCCGTTAATTTGTATAGCTGATGATTTATTTAATTTTATTTACTCTGCGAATTGGCACGACACCGCAGTTTGCTGACACGGCAAGACACGTAAAACCAAAGTGATAGTGAATCCTGAGCAGATGAAAGGTAATAGGCTAGAATCGTTGACAGCGTGACCACCATCAATTCCTGGATTGCCACCCATTTCCCTTCGAAAATATGCTACTCTAGACTCGGCGTTTTCCGCTCTCCATTGCCTGAATTTTTCTTGATCCGCAACCGGCATTGTACCTAGAACCATGTTGGAGCCAACTGTTTTGCATAACTTGGGCCGTTTAACAATGCGCTCGGGCCTTCCAGAGCTTGTGGAAGCTTTCACTTTTCCATGATCTGTGTTTTCGCATTCTGATAACTATATCAGAGCATTATATCCCGAAGTAGCTTGTGATTACCGTATTGAATATGCATAATAGAAACCCGATACTTTCAGTGACACCATGCACATTTCTATTACTTCAGTTTGGTCTGGCCAACATCGACCTAATCGAATTTTAATCCCAGAACTTACCCAATATGACAACAATCTCCGAAAGATCCGTACACCTTTAATTATTGGAATAAACAATTCCATTTGGAAGATAGATACATTTACCTCCTCCTGTTTACTGCTGTTGATGGAGCGTTGACCATGTAGGTCAATTTTCTGTCTGCTATTCGCTCCTACATAGTTAGTATGCCGGTGGTCGTAATCCGGGGATCATCGGTACGAATCCGCGTTGGTGCTGGCGATCTCGGGGTATACTCAGCCCACGCGCGACTGTTCGTGGTTGCGTGGCAGCGAGGTGTTGGTACGCCATACTACTGATACCTTTTTTCTACTATGGGTCGTTTCTGGCCATCCACATGCTTGGCACTTTGCGGCCCACCGACAGGTTTCCATCTATCGGAATTTGGCCTGACGATTGTCAGCTCATTGACCTTTCTTCAAGATCCGCTGTCCTTACTTTTTTATGTCCACAAGCACGAGCATCGCGATTTGCATATCAAACGTAGTCCACCAGCGTGTGTTGATCGGTGATGATAGAGTGTGTGGTGAGGTAGAAAGCAATGCAGTATTTTTGACCGGACTCGAGTTGGCCTATATTTTCAGTGCTCCTGTCTGAACCGTCTTAACCCGCTGACTTGTCATGTACAATCATACCTGCTAAGTGTCGACATGGTGTACTCGCACAAGGACTTCTGAATAAATAAATTAATTAAACTTTTAATCTCGACAATACGAGGCGCGCCTTTACAGGCATGATCATTTTGACAACAATGCGTGATCAATAATTTTCAAAACTCCAAGATGCTTGCCATAACAATGTATGTTTGTGTGGGGTGGTATGGTATATAAGTATGTAATTGTGTGTGGGTATGTAGCTGTGTAGATTGTGCTTGCAAAAATAGCATGTGAAGTAAATTGGTTATCAGCGAATCTGCGATAAGTAAAAATGACCGAAAGTTATTTAAAAAATGCCACGTGATTAAGTTACGCAAGTTAACATGAGTGACGTGCACAAGTTAGTAGAAGATTAACAGGCAGGCATAACAAACCAAATAAAGTGGAATTGCTTTTATCCACATCGATATATTTTCTTTGATATCGTCATTTCGAGTGATTGGCCCATCGCTTGACATACCCGGTGTGGCTGCCCTTGATGTGCATGTTGAAAGTGCATATGTTGTCTATACTGGCTCCAGGAGACAGTTGGTCGTTGCTAGAGGGACGGGGTGCACGGTCCTCCTGGCCGCGTTAGGCTCCAATAGTGGTTATATGCACATGGTTTGTGTGTGGATCGGGCTGCGGCCTAACCACCGCATTGTGTGCGGTTGATTCCCCAAATGCAGCCTGTGGAGGAGTGTGGGCCGGCTCCGTTTATGAAACATGGTTCCAATCCACATGCCTCCCGGTCTTATTCCTTCGGGTTTACACTGGATATGGGGTGTTTGGATGGAATTGTAGGTAGTGCAACGCAAGCCACCCATGGTCCCTCTGTAGGCGCATGCGTCCTGTGGCTGGCCACAGTGACAGGAAAATCCGGAACCGGATGTCTCCAACCATTTTGTGCTTGTACAATTGCTGCTCCATTCTTGAATGTTTGCTATCGTCGGCAATGTAAGAGTAGAAGATTGGTGTCCGTAGGTTGGTAAGGATTCTTCGAATATCCACGGGGCAGTGATTTTACTTAGTTGCGAGTCACATCCGCCTCGTCACAGTGTTGTTAAGCAGACATTTGTGGATTTTTATAGGGAGAACGCTTGCCAGGCGGAAACCCACCACGTACTGGAACACTGCCACCGAACTATTTGCTGGAAGGGGTTAAACCCGAACCACCCAGCTGGCACCACGAGAAGGTTGTTCCGCTAGCCAGCCTATCGTGTTCCATTTTCTGTCAGGTACGTTCTGAATTCTCAGCCTTACTTCTGCTTAAAGTAGAATGTTCTTTAGGCTGTTAGATCTCGCATAGACTTTTGGGGCTATCGTAACGCTTGTTAATTCGTATCGTCTATTTTACCCACCGGTTTCAATGTACTCTTCTCTTTTCAGACGCTAAATTCAGTTCAGCCGCATCCCCGATTATTGGCCCGAACTTCTATCCGGATATATTAAAGTATGGTTTCAGATTTTTTATTCTGTGGAGCCTGTTTCCTAAACTTCCGTCTGTGTGATATAAACCTTTTTATCGAGCACAAAAAGAACAGTTGTACCAGCTACACAACTGAATCCCGACCATCTACCGACAATTTTGTGGCAAATTTGTTGGAGTGTGTACAGTGCTTTAGGAAGTTTCCGACACCGTGGCCACTATTACTGCATGTGCAATCGGAACACCAGATGTTGTTTGTAAATACGACACAACCTCCGTCGGATACATTGATACATGATGTAAGTCGCAGCATATGCTTTCCCCAAACATCACCGGATCAATCAGAGGACACGGATGTTCATAAATCTTTAGACCATTCTGTTGTTGAAGTATCCAAACACGAGCTCGCCTCAGTGGGAACGCAGACCATCATAAGCTCGCTTCAGAATAATTTGTTAGCATCTAAGAAGCGCGGTTATGTCTCCTGCTGTAATTCTACATCCACTTGTAGCCATTGCGCGTGCAATTGCGTTGATGCCCACGATGCTCTGTGTTACTGCGACTCCACTAGCTGTAGTCTACCCGTCTCCTCACCTTGTGGATGCGGATATTACTGTCCCCCCTCGTTCCCCTTACATCTCAAACAAGGCACATGTACCCTACAAACAGCTTTTGGCACATGCTCCCTTTCAACGTCACGCTGTGTCCCGCCTGCACCGGGAGTTACTGCAAACCAGAACGGCAGAAATGATACTCCAACTACTAGTGGTCAGTGCTGCATGTCTCTCGTCCGTTGCAACACACGATGTTGTCTAACGGAGAATACGACAGTAACCTCTCAGTCGTTGACTCTTTCATGCTGCCCTTGCCCCCCAACCATCAGGAAGCCCAACACAACCTCTTCAGAAGTTCAGACTGATTTAGAACCGGAATTTGGGGAGCTGAATTACTCGGATATAGCAATGTTATTGGCGTCCCCGACTGGGTCAGTCGCAGTTAGCCCTCCAGACATTTTAGACTGTGTTCTCAAGCCAGATCATCCAGCAGGTACCTTATCAAACCAACCTTCCGAAACACAAGAACAAGCTTCTTTGTCTACCGACCTGATGACCATCGAGCCTACAGTCCTCGGATTTGATAATTCCACTGATGCACCGAATGTCACTGTTGATTCCACTGGCGAACAGTCTTCACCATCTGCTCCCTTACCTTTGGTGACGTCCGGTTGTCAGGCGAACACGCTTCCTGCGATTACGTTTAATATTTTATCCACCAGTTTCATGAAAGCGCATGGGTCAGAAGGGACATTTAATGAAGGCCATTCCCAAGACCTTATGTCACCAATCGAAAACACTACACAACAATGTTCGGTGGCTCCGCATGGAGAAAATCGGGGTTCTTTGCTCTCTACCATGCCGCGATTCAAGTGCACTATGTGTGGAAAAGTTCACCGGCAAAAGATCCATTTGAAAAAACACATAATGACACAGCACATCCGCAAAAAACCATACGAGTGCCCATTGTGTAAGTACGCAACCGTTGAGAAAAGTCATCTCACCGTTCACATTCGCACCCACACTGGTGAGCGGCCTTTTCGTTGTCGTGTTTGTGAGTATTCGTCGACGCAAAATTGCACGTTGAAATCCCATTACATACGGAAACACCCTGAAAATCAACTTCAGTGCTCCAGATGTTTGGAAACATTCTACACCGAGCTAGAGTTAGGAAAACACCAACGAATGTGTTTCTTTGGTTGCTTATAGCATCTCGTGCATCTGCATTTCATTATCCGGTTTCCTCATTCGTTAACGACGGTGATGATTTGATCTCGTTTTCTCATCGATACTTTCTAACTTGTCAAACGTACGTGTCGCCACCAGTTCCATATAAAGATCTCTTCCAACACTGCACTCCAAAACTCTACAATGAGCAATTGGCTTCTCTCGCCTCAAATTGTATAGCGTACTATTTACAGATTTTTACCAAAGCGCTTTTGTACACCAATCCAAATCTCACTTGAATCTGTCTAGATCCATTTATGATTAAATGCCTTCACTCGCGACTCAGTTTCACTAACTCCCACAATCCACTGCTTATTTAGTGCTGGCATTCACGGATGCTACTCGGCTCGTATCGATCCGGGCGGCTGTTTCCGTTGTAATACACATTTCAGGGTCACATTGTAGAATGTACTCTTTCATTTATGGTCTCGGCTAGATGATCCAATGATTTCGAATTTTCAAACGCTGCATTACTGACATCGTTTGCAACGCACATTCTCTGATAAAACCGTAAAATGTTTATCGAGCATTTTTGTCCTTGAAACACCGAATTTATCACGCCTCTGTTGACCAAATGCGGAGCCAGTTACGTAAGCAGAACCGATAGCATTTTAACTTCCCGAATAAAGTAACAGATGCCGGGGTGGGCACAGTGTGACATTTCCCGGGATTCCTACTCCATCAACCTCGATAGGCAAATGCCTTTTGGTCTCGGGTCCCTGGGTATAGTTCAGCTATGTGTTGCGTCGTTCTAATTACCCTTTCCTTCGTTCTACGGGAGTTGTCGCAAAAAACCGAATGAAGCCATGCTTGTATGTTGAAGAATAATTGTTAGCCTTAGGTTACCAAGGACATGGGGTTTAAGTTCGTCATTGGAAGGAGCTTACTTGACCGCAGGGACACAAACCTCATTCCACCAGGGATGTATAGTTATACAACTGTCCTTAGTATCAAAATAGTGCTCCTATCGAATTTTGAGGCAATTTCCACTTAGATTTTCACTTTGCCCTAACGCCCTCCGATTGAGCCAATTTCATTTTACTCTTTCATCAATGTGTACTGCCATTGTAACTGGTTTCACGGTCGTGTGCGGCGTTCATCTGGACCGCCTTGATGGAATGGGATCAGTACTTCCTTCGGATTTCCAAGGATTCAAATCCGAATAGCTTTAAACGTGCGTCAAGCACTCGTTGAATGTATCACCGTCGCGTGTGCTGCAGATGTCATTTGCGAGGTTAAGTGCTATGGACAATCAAGTTAAATGTGAAAAAACATAGGAAAGCCAGCTGCATGTGCTAATGCCTTGGTCGAGGTTGATTGGGTCCCACTGTGCACCTTTCTGGTACAATCCATGGATCTGCAACCGGTTCTTGATGATCGTTTGCAGAGCACTTAAAGCAGGGCATCGACATGGACATGTTCCATTGTGAACGCAGCACCGCTTGCCCCGTAGCCTACCGCAATGGTTGCATAGAGGTCGGGTGACGCTGGCGGTAAAAACTGGAGTATGTAGAATCGGGATGTAGATCAGCTTGCTCTCCGGTGCTTTGTACAAGACGAAGCATCCCGACCGGCGACTTTCGAACAAACTGCCCATCAATCTACAGAATTACAACCAGTATGCCGTTCACAAAAGACTAGTTTGGGGAGAATGAGTTATGCCATATAAAAACTAGATGCTCAATCACCTCGGCCACCATGGACCGGAGACTTGACTCTGCTTTCAAAAGTTGGGCCATGGTTCCCGGTCCCCTACAAAGCCGAGGGAATGCACTACTCCACACATTAGCCAGAAACAGCTATTGTGCCGCGCCACAATTATGTAGTGGCAAAAATGAAAACTAAAAAAACAAGTAACATGCTGCTTCTTAAACCATTCATCGACGTTGAAACCGTGGTTAGTTGCGAAGGCTAAACGGGATGAGGAGGGACAAAGGAGCTTACAACACTCGCCACTGAGGTTTCTCTTGTCAACAAGTGTATCCACACAATCGTACTCAGCGTCTTTCAGACCTTAACCCGGGAGGCACCAACCCAAGTCATCAGCTGGCCTACCCTCCTGTTCACACCCCGGTCTCACCAATAAAACACATCGATGGAGCATGTGCGCCATTGTGCATGACACATGGCCCAACCATCAGTCTGGTGCGTAAAATAACGTTACTGACCGGTTCACTTGATCCTCCTACCCTATAAGCAAGATGGTGAACGCGCTCATTGTTCACTGCGTAGGTTCTTTACGTCTATCGATTCGATGGGCCAAGTTCCGCAACTACACAGTAGGGTTGAGCAGACGGCAACAGTGTAGACTCTTATCTTCAGGGCGCTGGTGATATTTCGCCGGCATTAGCAAAAGCAGGGTAACCACGGAGCAGCGGCTTTTCAATCAGCCTAAGGTATTGTACGCATTTTTTCATGAGTACCGTTCACAGAAGGGGAGAGTGGGCCGGGCTACCTCAAAACCAGTAAGTTGTGTCGGCCGCCACAGCCCAGAGACTTGAGTCTGCTTGAAAAACGCATCACGACTTCGAGCCCCACCGATTCATAGAAACGAACTTTGTTGGTTGGTTAAAAAAGCGGGACACTCGTGGTGTAGTGATTCAGACATGCAACCTAAGTTCGAGTCTTTCATGTGCCATAGCCCGCTAGAGGTTGTATGAAAGCGAAACATCAGAACGGAGTACCTGTTCGGGCGTCGGGATTCGCTCGATATTGATATGTGCTGTCTATCCGAAACTAGGTTGCAGGACCCGAGCACTGTATTCAAGTTGACTTCCTTAACGAATCAGGGAACCACATACCACCTGCGTCTTTCTGTCGATACAGAAGCGGCTGCAGCTGGTTTGGCAGGCGTTGATGTGGCATTAAGCAGCAAAGCCGAGGCCGCACTGGACTAGTTTCTAATTAACAGCCGATCATGTGCAGTTCGGCTTCAAGGTTCATGCAGAGTTAACAGGCACCGCGCTGAATGACGCAACCTGTTCGTGGTCTCCGCCTATGCGCCAACCGACTGTAGTTGTGAACCGACGAAGAACGATTTTTAGTGCCAACTTCAGCGCAAAGCCATCAATTTGGATGTCGTCGTCCTCGCGGGGGACTTCATTGCACGTGTCGGTCGCCTGCTACCAAGTGAATATCACCTGAGTGGCCATCACACACTGTACGAGAATCGCTCCGATAACGGAACCAGACTTCTCACTTTGTGTTAAGATACTGACTTATTTCTCGTGAGAACCGACTTCAGACACTCCTGGCGTCCTCCTTTACCAATGCAGTCTCAAATAGATCACATTGCAATCAGTTTCATGTAACTAGGTAACATACATAACTGTACGTCATTTTGGTCTGTTTAACTTGATTCTGGTCACGCACTGTTTTGTGCGAACATTTGCATGCACTTTGGAAGCATTGTAAGCTTGATACGAACAGGCTATCAACTGATCCATCGACCAATTGTTGTTGACAAACGCCTTAACTTTTGCTCTTTTAACTGGTGTCGAATTGCGTTGGAACTTCTTGCAGGATACGATGTTATCTTCTGGCCAATCACTGTGTGAATTTGCTCACCGCCGATCAAAGAGTTAGATCTCCGCGCGCTCCCTGACACTTCTCGACCGCCGCCGAACTCTCAAACATAACTCCGATCAAAATGTACTTTGCCGCGCCATCAACTCAAACGAAGTCTTCGCGGTGATCGTGAAGTTTGATGGTCTCAACGCGCCAACCGGTGACTGTTGCGTGATACCGAAACGTCTTAAAGTGCCAGCTTACCACTGATACCCTCGTAATCCTGCACCTAGGTCTGCTTAAGATAAACCCCATTAAAATTTCGTCATGGCTCTTCGTGCAACTGCCGACCACGCTTATCCAGCAAGGTTCCTCTGATAAATCGTTATTTGTTTCGCAACATATGGCTAGTAAAATGTTTGTTTGGGTAAGCGGAAATTTGGATGCTATTACTGCAATCACCAGTGTCGCTGTTATCTACGCAAGCTCACCGCTCCTTCAGGTCGTACTATGAATTCTAGTGACGACCATTAAACGTATCTCCAGAGCATACCGTCAAGCTCGTTTGCATGTTTGGTTATAGAGTGCAACCAGCTCTCAATTTGCGAAACAAATACACACGTCCGGATCAAAGCCCTCATCGCCGCTTGCGATAAGGTCACTTGAAGTAACCGCTTGCAACGGATTAGTGGTCTGCTACGTGTGCAGAACAAACGCGTTGCGCAAATTCGATACCTGAAATTCAGTTCAGTTGCGAACTCAGCTCAAGCATCGTGCGTAAGCAAAAAGTTAGCTAATTCCGCCTACTTGCAGTTGCGTCAAAAAGGCGGCTCGTCAGGAATTGTAGCCAGGGATCACCGGTTTACACAGCTGATAGCGCGGACTTAACTTAGTGAACAGCTGAACACAGGGTTTTACATGTCTGTAAATGTCATTCAGGCTTGCGTGTGGAAGATGGCGTATTCGCCTGTGCGCTCGCGCAGTTCGTAATGAACTAAACCTACACTAGAACTTTTGTAGAAATGGCTTCCCTATTTGTATTTCGTTAATGATACCCGCATAAAACAGTGAACCCAAAAAGCTGCCGCGTCATGCGGAAAAATCGAGCGAAAAACTAATGACTTCGTCTCGTGTGGAGCAGCGTTTAGCAATTAAAATGGCTAAGATCCGATAGTCATTTAGCGTGTGACATTCATGTCGCTGTTCAGTGAAATGCGATTCCCAGCCTGATAATACTGGTAGGGAGCGCACGAATTCTCTCCACTGCCTTCACATAACATGACTCGCACTTCTCTCAAAAATTCCCGATCATTGCGAATGGGTTTTTAAGAAGAAATATATCGGTAGCATTATGTATGAAAAAATTTGGCGTTTGTGATCGTAGGCACTGAATCGACACTGAAATCATTGGCGCTGGACATTCGAATCGTGACATCCAGATGGATGTCTAGTCGGGATGTTCTAAACATATAGTCAACCGAAGTGAAAATACGGGTCGTTTTGTCAATTAGGTACAAGAAAGTTGGTAGAAAACGATCGAAAGGAACCAAATCAAAAATCGGATTCGTCATCGTAGAAATCCAGAAAGTTAACGAAAGTCGTTCGTGTGACTGCACCGTTTGGAGTGAATCTGTATTTGTAGTACGAGCCATCGGCGGCAAGGACTGAAATCGACCGGAGACAAAGAGATTACCTGACATGTGTAATTGCGACTATGTGTCAGCGAAATAAACGTATTAGCTTGTACGGTGGTTATCTGATGCGAAATATTAGGTCGACGGGAAATAGCTATAAACGGAAACTATTACTGACTAGTGAGATGAATCAAAGCAATGATCAGAGTTAATGGGATCAGGATAAATTCCACCGCTAAATACACTGCACGGATGCTTCGCGTCTAAGGATGTTAAATGAAAAGATACGAATCTATAATAAACCAACTTACACGAACTAGGTCTTTTTTATTTGGTTTGTTCTGCCTACCTGAATAACCTTCCATCAACTTGCACTCATTGCTTACGCTGATTATGGTTTTCTTCGTTAATTTTATCGCGCTTGTAGCTTGTGGACATTTTATACTCGTTGCTAACCAACTTACTTCATATGTAAGTTTAGCGATGAGTTACGTCACCATATCTGTATGCATTATTCGATTTATCTTATTTCATCTTGTCGTTTCAAGTGAATGGCTATTGTTTGATATCCCCGGGGTGGTTGCGCTTGATGTGCATATTGACAAGGTGCCTACCTGTCCATTACCTATGCTGAGGTTGCATTCATGATGCTTCTTCACCGCAGTTGGGCTAAACCAACCCACACTTATTCTGATTAAATGTCATTCAACTTTATTTGGTTCCTTCTGCGTACCTGATAACCCACTAACTTGCACACGTCGCTCATGCTAATTGGAGTAAACCTGCGTAATTTGGCACGTGGTATTTTTTAAATAACTTCTGGACATCGCGGATTCGCTGATAACCAATTTACTCCATATGCTCATTTAGCGAGTGTTTATGTCGTCATATCCGTTTACATTATCCGATATATTTTATTTGATAATGTTATTTCAAATGATTGGTTGTTGCTTGACATCCCCGGTGTGGCTGCACTTGAAGTGAATGTTGACAAGGTGCCTCCCTGTCTATTACCCATTACCTCGTCCATACTGGTTCCAGACAGTTGGTCGTTGCTGGAGGGGTGCACGGTCCTCGTGGCCATGCTAGACTCGAAGAGTGGTTCCATGAACTCATTGTGGGGCGGACTACGGTCCAGCCATCGCCTTGTGTGCGGTTGATTCCCCAAATGCAGCATGCTTGTGTTTGCCTGTGGAGGAGTGTGGGCCGGCTGCGTTGATGAATCCACATGCCCCCGGTCTTATTCCTTCGTGTTTACACTGGATATGCAGTGGTGCAGCGCAAACCACCCATGGTCCCTCTGTAGGCGCAGGTGTCCTGTGACTGGCCACAGTGACAGGCAAATCCGAAACCGGATGCCGCCAACCATACTTTGCACTCAGTCGGACAGTTTGCAGCATGCCCATTTTGGAAACAGGTGCAAATACCACCGGATAATGTTATTTCGGAGAGTCGTGTATACAACGGAAGGGATAACAAAGTTTTGCCTTGGCTTCAAGTGTCACTGGTACTCTTGAGATTAATTTAACCACCGGGGTGAGAGAAATCTTGTAATAGACCACAACATCCGATTGATATGCCTGTTAGGTATTCGGTGAGTACAGACCCATCCGCCCCAGTTGCATGGTCAATTTGTTTCTGACATCTACGCAACCACTCGACGCAGATGATCAACTGTCTTACGCTCGATACTAACTGCCATCTTACAAAAATGATTAGCACTTAATATCATCCTCAATCAGACGCAGCATACCTCGGCTTGTTTATTTGAAGTATACCCAGATGGACATGTACTACCACAAGTGGCGACAACCTGCATCGGGTTCTGAGATCCACTTGCGGAATTTGCTCTTACTGATGGCTGCAGCGGCCTGAAAGCAACGTAAGGGCTACTCTGCAGCACCAATCGTTATTCACATGCTTCATGTAAGGTTGGTTTGGAGCGATGTAGCGTTGGGACCGCATAAACTTTGCTTCAACGCACGCTAACCGGGCTAGTTTTGCCCGCCCTAAATCGGTACTAGAAGCTATAAAAGTTGATAGTGAAGAATTTGCTACTTTTTTCTTATTTTCTGGAGCCGAGAGTTTTACGAATGAGTGTGTATCTTCGAGTTCCCTTGGCAGTGACATCATCAGTGAGGTCCAAATGCCAACTGATCCGATTGCGTGGATCGCGTGGATGTACTTTGTTCGCGGCTTCAGAACTGGTGAATGCAAAGCCAAGGCTGAATCAGAAATAGACGACTTACGGGTGCTTTCGCTACTGGAGATGCTGCTGTTTGATAGCCGGAAATAAAGTGCTAAGAAATCTGGTGATACAAATGCCAGTGGCACGATTACACTGAAGGATTATTGTATCGGGTACTCGTAAAGAAAGAAGCTTGTCTCTAATGAGTGAGAAGAAAAGGGGGCAGGGACACCGACGAGGGTTCTATGGGTAGATGATATTCTCAATAGTTTCTACTTTCAGCTTTTAATAGGGAGTTCGACCAGGTTAAGCGCTAGAGAATGTGGTTACGGGGTTTTTCAGGCGCAAAACAATTGTGCGCTGATCGACAGTAGAGAATATAACTGCGGTCATGATCAATGCGAATGAATCTTGTTTGATTGACCTAGAGGCCACAAACCACCGGACGTCGTGTATAGACCCCCAAATGATGGTGCATGCGCTTTACCCAGCTCAACGCTCTACTCCAGCTGAATGTTGATGGAAATGAGTCACTGCTTTTCCCAAACCAACATGAGAGTTGTCGAGATCGAGTGTATCCGTCGGCGGTATAAGTTACGTCTGAAAATTATCACTTGTAGCGCGGTGGATCGAAAGAGCGGGCAACACATGGTATCAGTCTCTTCGCGGCAGCAGTGCCAAAGAAAAGATTAATGACAGCGCTGTGATTAAACACCGAGAAGGACAACCTTACAGACCATCAATATGTTACCGCAGTTCTGTATCTAAGTCTCACCTAAGCACACAAAGCCAGAAGTACACGGAAGTCGAACGATCGCTCAGGGCAAAAGCGTTTAGGGTATCGTTTAGTTATACATAGCTTGTCATCCGGTAGACGATCTACAGTCGGAATGCGTTGTTCAGCTCCGCGACTAGCCTTCGTTCCTGATAAACGAAAACTAAAAGTCCGTATCTCAAAAAAGCCCGAAGCCGATTAAAAATATGTCAGCTCTGAGGGTTTTGTATAAAAACAGGTTTCTATCAATTTATACTGTGAAGATGCTTCGCTTTTGACGCAGGTTTGGAGACTTGTGTAAACAGTGAAAAGGTTTCACTATATAAACCCCCCATAACTTCCACAGAGGTAAATTTCCAAGCTCATGAGATTGGTTTAGCCACTGCTGGAGCACTCAGGAAGAGAATAACCACAGTAATTTGTCGTCGAGAAGACATCAAGGATAAGCATATCAAATTTCCTGTTAGGAAAAGCTTACACACAAGTGAGCATCGAACTTACCTATGAGGATGTTCGGGTTAAGGAGACTGAAAGCGCATATGGCTTTGTATTTGGTTTCCAAAATGCATCGGATTTGACTTACATTGGCGAAGTAGTTGGTTACCGATTCTTGAGATCTGTGATAAGAGTTCGTGGAGGTAAAGAGATTTGTTAGAATTAGGTTAGGCGCATTCGAAAGGAGTCAAAAAGCGAAGAGGAAAGTGATCGAACAGTTTAGCACAGGATGTGTGGGTCGATCTAAACATTTGCCTGGATACACATCACGCATTTGTGCACCTGCATGGTTGATATTCCTCCGTTGCGTGGAGATTGCTTACGCACGATGGATTCTCGCAATCCGAGAATTCGGAATACGACGACCAAGATGTGCTGACCGAATGTCGATTAAGTCGCCGAAACTCCCTGTGCATCCAGCTCGGGACGCCAGTACAAAGGATGGGATTAAAGGATTGCTTCGAATGATACTAGTGAGACTGTTTTGGGTTAACTTCATAATATTCACCACAGCTATTGGCAATAGTTCAGTAGCGTAGCATAAGATAAAAATCATAACTTTACAAGACCCACAGGATGGAAAGTACACAAGAAAATTAAAATCAAAAATGTTCTAGCGTGGAATCTGAATCACTAGTAGTAAAGATACCGCACTTAACCACACTGTTGTGTAACGTTTAGCACCAAGATGAAAGTCGAAGTCTCTTTCGTAATGTCGGGTGCGTTCACCGCATGTGTTGGTAGTGTATTCCAATGCCAACAGATTCCAGGAGAGTAAAATATTTATTACAATCCAAATGGGAGTGTTGCGTTACTAGTTTCAGGTGATACTGAATACTGGTATTATAGAGCAAATAGAAATGAATTCTGTACAACTCTTTCGAAATATGGTGAAAACTTTATAAAAGTTATCAGCCGTGAATATCGGTATCGTCCTCGTGTAACATTTACAATATCTGACTCACGGTATTGTAGGACTCACAAGTGCGACGTCGTCGTAAGTGTGCGTCCGCTGTATCCACAGCAGTAGCCATTAAGCCACCGGCCGTCTTGTTTGGTGGTATTCCAGTTTTAACCTTTCTTTTGTCGTTCGTACACCAGTATACCATGGTTTCCTGCCATTAGTACTTGTCTGCTCCAATAAGTGACGTGCAGTAGTTTCTAATTGCTTTGTAATCCTGCCATGTGATACCACGGCGTATGTTGCGTCCAAATATCATCTCTTCTGTCGACACATTTACGTGTTCTGCTTCGGATTCAACTGTTGGTCCGGCGTGACACCCGTAATGGTACAACTTTTGAGGCTGCTCGTATGACCCAGTATACGTTTCAATTCATTCTACGAGTCGCTAGCCGAACTGTGAGTCTGTAGGCTTTAGTCAACGATTATCGCGAAGTTATGAAGCTTGGAGTAGTCAGTAAGAGTTCGTTGGGTTTCGCTTTATCAATCATATTGGCATAACACACATAACCAAATGTTAGAACTGAATGGTCGCTACTGCCTAGTGGCTTAGTACCGCTCCCGTTCACTCTCCACAGATGATCCAAGAGAGAATTCCATGAGAAAATGGCTGAAACAAATGGACAGTAGATTTTTCGCACCAATAAACGCGGTGCAATGCTCACACTTGCTTAGACAAAATTAAGATTCAAGAGTAAAGCTCAATTCAACTCATCTACTGCTCCCGTCGTTGGAAGGTTTCTCAATTCATCATCATCATCATCATCAATACACGTTAGCTGAGGGCGAGAAACACTTTAGCTAATGTGTCGCAATACAAAAAAGATAATATACTAAAAATTACACTACAAAAAATCCAAAAAGCAAGTGATATAATGTATCACAATATTCATTTGCTATGAGATCGTAATCGGAGGAGGAGTCAAAAGCAGAGAAATTCACAACACAAACGCTGTTGAGACCGGCTCTTCGAATTATCAGCAAGTGTGTCCAAACAGACGCGTTCATCGTCTTTGGGACCTCAGCCCGGCAGTCGGGATTCATCAATAGACGCCAATTTCTAATTCAGGGTTTTCATTCCCCTTGATCAAGTTATCGCTTGGCCTCCCCTCCTTCTCTTCCATCCGAAGCCCAGGCGCGCAAACAACACACGACGCGGGGGTCGATGTGCTGGCTTGAGCAATACGTGGCCCAGTCTTCGGAGCCTGATGCTGAGCACACGACGCCGAACACATTCACTGCTCACGTGATACTCGCACCAGACATGCGCTAAGCTGTGAAGGGAGCAACGATCGGACGTAGTTAGCCGCTTTATGTCTGTCGACCTGATGGGCCAAGTTTCACAACCGTATAAGAGGGCTGAACGGACGGCTGCATTGTGAACTCTGCTCTTCAGGGAGAGGGTGATGTTACGTCGGCGCCACAGGTGGCGGAGAGTGGCAAAAACACCTAGTTTCTGCTATACGTAATCTCATCTTCGATCCCACGGGCTCTAATATAGCTGCCCAGTTACTTTAATTTCTGAACGGCTTCAAGCTGATTCCCACCAAGGGTCCGTGCAGGGGTGGGTCGCTTCCAATCTTGGAGAATGACTGCATTTCGAGGGGGCAAAGCGTAGCCCAAAATAATCGACAGCCAGTGCTAATCGGGCCATTGCCGCTGGGCACGTTTGGGAGCTGTCACATATGAGGGCAATGTCGTCAGAATACTTCAAGTCAAGAAGTCGCCCACCAATAATTAGCTCCACCTCGTAGGTCGTGTCTAGCGAAAGATGTTTTCATGACTTCGTCAATGGTGAAGTTAAAGAGGACAGGTGACAGCGGGTAACCTTGTCTCACACCGCTGGAGATATTTAAGGGCGGCGACAGTTTGCCATAAACCGCAACTCCGCATGAGCTATGCGCATACAGCTACATATTTTTCGCGCACACCTTTCCTGGTCAGATAGCCCCAAAGAGCATATCGATTCACCGAATCGAAGGCAACTTTGATGTCGCAAAACAGGACCACGGTAGGTCGCCAATAAATATGATGGTACTCTAACAATTGATTTAAAGTATAAATGTGGTTGATGTAGCCAGGATTTCGACGAAACCCGGCTTTCTCCTCGCAAATATGGCTTTCACGAGGGCTAGTCAGTCTGTGGAGAATGACAAACGCAAGCAATTTGCAGGGAATTGAGATCAGACTGACTTCTCTATGACTGTCGCATTTCGAACGGGAGCTCCATTGAAAATTAGGACTATGACGGAGCGGCTCCAGTCTGTTGGGACAGTCGCCCCCTTTCACAGTTTCACTAGTAACTCGTGTAAATCATCTATAAGAACAGTTCCGCCGAATCTGAAGAGGGTTGGTGAAATTCTATCTGACCCTGCTGTCTTATTCAATTCCAACAGTCTGGTTCCTGCGCGTGAGGGCAAATTCACGGCGACGGTCTAGAGTAGGGTGATCAATGGGCGGTGCAGAAGCTGACAGCTCTGACTAATTGAGCTGTTTCTCAGTGTTCGGCCCAACACTCCAAACTGTTGGTCGGTTGTCCACTCTTGCCATGTACGGTCTCGTTAACACCAGGTCTCCTGTAACACACGGAATAACTTACGATGGTAACCAAAGACAGCGGTTATTTCCATTTCCGACTCAAGATGAGACCACTGGCTTCTCGATCTCCCTTCAGGCTAGCACGCAGTTTTGCTCTGAGATTTTTGCGAGTCTCATAATATTCGCTTCCAGCAGGAATACGTCGGCGAGCATCCAAAGGCTCTAGAGACAATGTAGAGATCCAATGTCCAGGTTGGCAATTTGATTTGCCACATGAAAACATGCCTGTTGATAGTAACGTCTGGCAAATAGGGGACCAGTGATCTTCAACTATGTTCAGTGGGCGCTTACTCAGCCAGAATGTCAACATACTTTGAAACGCATTCAGAACACCTGGCTTCGCCAGTTGGCTGGTGTCTATGCGCCCACAATGACGTTGCGGACGTCCGCCGAAACGCATCTGAAGGTTGGCACACACAAGAGCGTAATCGGAGGCCACGTTTGTGCCCCAAATCGTGCGAGAGTTTTGGATGCATCCTCTCCAGCGGTAACTGATCGCATTGTAATCGATTTGCGTCCATGGTTCGATGCTGGTGGGCGTCAAGTCACTCTTCTGCGGGTGCTGTGTCGAATGTTAGTGCTCACGAGAAAGAGACGAGCATCTTCACATAGGTGTAGCAACCGCTCAACGTTATTATGAGAGCCTGCACCATGTTGGTCGCTCAGATGAAGCTTGTCAGAGGACAATTTTCCGACTTGGGCGTTCAGAGCATCAGGAAGCACCACGGTATCCGTGCGTTTCTTTTAACGAAGGAGATCATTAAGCTGGCGATAAAAATCACCAAACCAGTGCTACAGGTTGTGGGTGCGTACGCCACAATGACAAAAGGCGCCGTTTGTCCCAACGCGACTTCAAAGCCTGGAACGAACCAGCTAATTTAACGGCGCACATCCGGCTGTTGGCTGGGATCCAATCGATCAGGGCAGTTTCATCCCGCGGACTCAAAACAATGTTCACGCCGGCTTGACCGACATTTGAAGCTGCGTCATCTCCAGACAGGTCCAATGAGAATGTGCCACCAGCGTCGCATGTGAGGGACCGCAGGGTAAGCACGGATAGGGTCTCTAGTGTCCTGGCAAGTACTGCCTGTTGGCCAATCTGTAGCTAAGTGCGCACATTGAGGCATGCCAGTCCTAGCGAGGATCGAGGACTCCAAAGGGAAACAGATGAACTGAAGGTGTCTGTTTGTTTTAACATGCACTTGTTGACTGGAATAGAGCGACTATTGAAGCAAGATGGAGGAGGATCAATAGTTGGGAGGTTGAAATAGGGGGGATAAAAGTGCAGTTGGAGCGGGACGATAAGGATAAAAAGAGCGCTAGCGGGAGAATAAGAGGACGGAAAGTCCTCAGCAGTAGCATACGAACCCGTACCCACACTGCTCGACGTAGCAGATATGGCGCCGTTTATTATTCTCTGCGACGACCAAAGCCTCAAGAAATTGTTTAAAGAGCAAGTCACTGTTGTATTGCGTGGAGAGGATATTGTCAAGTTGCTCAGGCCTAGACGGGAGAATGATTAGGGTTCTCAACCAAAGGATTACAAAACCTTCCTTCAACATGATCACCCTCAACCCTCTCCACAAGTACTTGACGCTGTGAAAAGCCACCAAGTGTAACGACAAAGAATGATGCTCCAGTCAGTAGTGGCAAGACCATTCAGATAAGTCAGTTATCCTTAATCTGGGGGTAATTACCCTCCAGGGGGTAAAATGGAATTATGCGAGAGGTAAACGTAAGTACAAGGATTGGGTCATCAATCTGTCGTCAAACAAAATTAGTAACAAAATCATCTGTATCGAGGCATGCAGCTAACTACCTAATAATTGGCCATCAGTGATTAATCACTAGTTAGTGGTTAGTGAAATACGTAATTTTCGGGAATACATTTTATTATCTAAAACATGTATCCAAGACTGCAAAGCAGCAAAGCTAGATGGCGCCACTATCGGCCCGCACGTCGATCTGCTTCTTTTGCGTCAGGCAGTCGTTCACCGGGACGAATTACAGTGATGAGTGAACAATAAGGCACCAGCATAGGTCAGCTGACCAGGTAAAAGAGCGAGCGAATGTTTACAGAGTAGAAGGGACAAAACAAGCGATTAGTGTTCAGGACGTATCGATACAGAGTGATGATGGGGCGCTGTCATCCAAGAGGGACTTTGAAGAGAAGCCATTGACATCTGTTCCTGTTTGATGAGGAATCACACACCAAAGCAAGGAAGCGAATGAATTTGGATCACGGCTTACGATGTGCACTGGCCGAAACCACGGAAATTATACCATAAACTTTTGGAACTAAGCAATATCAACCATCTTGTTAACGTACGTCATAACTTGATTTAATAAAAATTACACCGAGGTAGGAGTTTTCTTCGTATAAGTGATAAAATTAATTGAGAATGGCATTCATTTTCCGCAGTTTAGTTAAAATTTATACGGGGAAATTGTCTATAGCGAGCCCACTTTGTGGGTAACAACCTCAAAAAGGTTGGGCACTACTGAAATAAGTGACTTGGCAATTTTGGGGAGCGAAGGCGCCTTGGCCAGGTGTTGAAATGGTACTCAACGCTCTTAAGATGCAAAAGTGCAATGCTATACGGTACTGCCAGGAAGTGTGCGTAAGCCTATCCAGAAGCGATGGCAGACATCTTGGCACAGACTGACAGCTGGTACGTGAACAACTTGACATCTGTTGCCGTTTGTTTACCCACTCTAGCGGTACAGAGTAACAGTGAACGTAGACGTAACGGATGCGGCTTGGGATTGTCTGTATGACACATCGTAGTTATGAGAGAGTTTAGGCACCGTCCGAGCCCCAACCATAAGCAGAACCAAAGTGATTAGCATCCAAATACAGTGACTTAGACGCAATATGGTGAGAACATGGTTCCAAAATATGAAGAGTCGTTCTCTAGGTTATGGAAAAGAAACTACACGCATTCCATACCGGACGGGACAACAGCGGAATGCGTCTATATGAACTATATTAATCGATTAAGCGACAAGATTAGTTCCGAATTTGCCAAGAAGCACAATGTGTGCCAATGCCTTGAGGAATAAGACGTTCAAATTTATTTTCCCCACGGTCACTAATGAAATGTAGGCATACCCAGAACTGGTGAAGCCACGTGGGTTGGAAGTGGATGGGTTGGTGCGATGCTTTTCGCTGGTGGAAGATTCCTTTTTCAAGTTGAAGATATGCGCAGTGCCCCGTTCACTTGTCACGCATAGCAGATCGCTGGTGGAATTGAAAGACAATGAGGTAACTGTGGCTGGATTGATGCCGCGCCGGAGTTCGTGAAGTAGCCGGCAGTCTTTTGTGGAAAACACTCGAATGATCGTACCTTTCTGGGAAGCAGTGGCAAGGAAGAGACCGTTGGAGTTCATCTCAATGGAGGCTAGAGCATTCTCGTGAGCAGCTATTTGTCTCGGGGGCATGTTATTCGCAGAGGTGGACGAAGGGGTAGCTGGTGACACTGAAGACGCGGCCGCAACGTTGCCAACGTTCACCAGAAGTAGTGACCCGGGCCGTTTACCCGGAAATGCAATCAAGGGGTTGTCGGGTGCTTGGCATATATGACACAGACCATGAGGGTTTGGAAATGTTGTAGACTCATAGACCAATTGCGGGGACTGGTCAAAGGTGTACACCTTGACTGCATCCAGGAGCACGATGACAATCCTGAGCGAAAAAATACGAATAACTGAACAGAAAGGACGTGCGGAGCATTTATTTTAAACGAGAAAAAACCACGAAACAGCTGAAAATGAGCAAAGCGTCATACAAGAAAGGTTATCTCGCTAACCCATCGAAATGTTTTTCGGAAGCAGCAGGATATGTAGTTGTTGGGGTATATGAAGAGGGATACGAAACCAGAAAATACTCACTCACTCGGTAATGGATTCCGTTGATAATGTAAGGTATCAATAGTATGCCGACACACTGTACCAACGCTTCGCTGCCGCGCAACCACCAACAGCCGCAAGTTAGGGGTATTAAGAAGTTGCCCGCACCTACGCAAGATCGAGCCAGCCATCCGTGGGGGACAAAACATACGCTTGAATCGATCGGCCACCGGCTGGTCACTAATAAAGTAGAATTCCTAAGAACCATTAATACACACTTGAGCGAATGGTAAGTACTGAGCTCGCTTTCGGTCGAGCGAATGTCTTGCTAACCGCAAATGGTCAGTACCAACAACAATATATCGGTTTGGGGAAATGGCGCTTCGCTGCCACACAACCATAAATTGGGAAAACGGTCCGTGATAGGAAATAAATTGCAGAAGTGAAGGAGAATACGTCACAGGATCTCGTGCACTGAGCACACATTCCGGAAAGGAAAACATCCGTCCTACCTTACATCCATGGAATTCCTGAGATGGCTCACGGGATCAACGTGGCACATGAAGCAACAGAAACCATTCGGAGTAACCTTATCAGGGCAAAATACCAACTAAGTACGGAAAAAAACATCAGGTATGAGTTACGAAATTTTCTACCAAAGTTGTGACAGGTACTACGTGGGCCAGACAGGGAGGAAATTTGGCACAAGACTGCATGAACACAGTCGGGCCATCCGCCGCCATGATAAAAGATCACTGATGTCAGTACATATGGATGCCGAAGACCATCAGTTCGAACGCCAAGACACTTGGAAGAGTAAAAAACCACAGAGTGCGTGAGTTCCTCGAGGCCTGGCGTTCGGACCAGAACTCAAGCAACAAACATCTAGAACTCGAAGGTGTCTTCGAAACTCTGCAGGTGAGGTCAAAAATAAGTACCAGGTTGGGAGGGCCACTTGGTTGACCCACGTGAGCCAGTCGGATACATTCAAAGCAGGAGACGATCACCTGTATCTGGCAGTGGCTTACGAGACTGCAAATCAGACCTCTATAGCCGCACTGAGGAGGTTGCCTAGTTTAGCAACGAAACGTCTGCAACAAAATTGCCTAGCTTGGAGAACACAACAATCCTCTCATCATCTACACTGAAAATTATCAAAAATATGTAGAGAAAATTGTGCTGAATCTCACGAAGAAGTTGAAACTAGTCAATGAATAGGCCAATGCAGGAAATATGGGAATCGATTTCATAAACATAATGATATTGCTTCGAATTTATCAAACCCAACGTAGACATACCTGTCCCTTCGCAGGCGTAGGGATTTAACTTCCGAAGAACAAGAAATCTCTAGGAAAAATTGTTGCTTTATTCCATCCCACAAGCAGGCCACGTTACTGGGCAAACGAGCATGATGTCCACCGCCCAAAATACCTAGCAGGTTGGTACGAAAAAGCATCTCTAGAAATCCAACTCCGGTTCCGTCGCGAACATCAAATTCTGAATAGAATGGATGAAAGCATAGTTCGATGAGAGGGGAATTCTTAAAGGAGTAAATGCATGCGCCTAAGTACACAGCTTATTTCAAGTGTTCTGTTAAGCCAGTTCCGATACTTTAGGAAGAAATATAAAAATTACACAGATAAGACTGCGTATAAAAATAATCGGCAGATTTCGACCGCACTGCAACATGCGAAATACAAGTCACTTGTGAATTGCATGTAATCTAATGATCGATTGACTGAAAGAAGGGGAGTTAAGGGTAGAAAGACTTACCAAAGCGTTCAAGTTGTTTCAAAGGATCGGAGTTGAATATGCGAAACCCATTCTGCATGCCTACTGCGAAACAACCTGAGGGTAAATGGTAAACATCGCAAGATTATGATTATTATCATTATTATTATTATTATTATACAGAGACATTTAATGTGTAACGTCATTAGTAAATCGAAAACGGTCTAAGTTCATCCGACGCTGACTGACCATCAGGCAAGGCGAGACTGACGACGAACTCGGTCTGCTTACAGAGTGGGTTTCAACTGCCTAAATGTCGACGTCTCGGCAAACTAAAACAGGCAAGCGGCACTCTGTCGGTTAAATATCCTGAATGATTCAGCAGTTTACGAATAGATTGAAGCCATTAAAACCATGGAAAGGGAAAAGAAAGTTTTCGAAACAGAATATGGAACACAACAGAGAGAAATATTTGGTTGTTTAGGACGGGCAAATACGATTCTATGACAAAAGTGGTCAGAATACATGGAGCCCCTGACAGGCTATTGGAAATTAGCGTCGTTATTATTTAAGTCTTAGATAGCTCGAATGTTCAATGGTGGCACAGACAGTGGATTCTGTGGCCCATTGTAGTTCGGTGATTTATGGAGTAAATAGGCATGAAGCCGCAACTGCTTATAAGAATCATAACATCAATCCCGCAACCGAATGGCTAAGAGCGCCGCAGCATTTCGCCAAATGTGGCGATAATGCACAGGATATTCCTGGCTGCGTAAGTTACGTACGGTGATCAAACATGGCACAGGGTTGGCAATCCAATTCGTGAGGTCTGTAGATTAATGGAACACATGTGCACGGCGACGTGATAGGGGCAGCCCATCGCCCGTGTTCCTTGATCACGTCGCAAGCGCCAGCAGATTAGCCCCTTGGGAACGATTCTTAACAAACGGCTGAAGTGAGTTGGTGGTCACCCTGCTTCAAATTAAACCAACAAAACAATGGAGTGCTTAATTGCTGAACTCAGTGCAGTTGATTAGTTGACAACCTGCTCACCGAAGTGCAATTGATTCAGATGCCTAGGTTAATAGTAACATAATTAGAGAAGAATGAACCAAAACAAGGTCAAACGGAGCAAACAACAGCCGAAAGTAAGGAGACGAATGCAACAGCACCTGTGGTTTCGATACGCTAGCTGAACGCTGATACGACCGAGTCCGATGAGTTTGTTCATACTGTTTGTTACGCTATTATCAGGTTACCACGCGAGTTGACCAAACCCGGTGCAATATTGCACAAAGGCACCCGGCTTGTAAGCATGTGTAGTATGTCAAGTGGTTCGATTTCAGTGGGGAAACCAAGTATGCACCGTACAACATATCGCCAAAGATCTGAGGAAGTTAAATACCACTCATTCGATATTCCGCTGAATATAAGCGACAAACCCTAGAGAGATGAATGAAATAACCACGCAAATATCATTGCAAGATGGCTTCCTAAATCAGTACTTAAATCAGTGCACAGTAATGCATTGTATATGAGAGAAACTGTAAAACTTTTGGGAAGCCAAAACTTAATGCGTAGCGTGAAATCTCAGAGAGGGTAGTAGCAAGAGCACTGTTCACAAGAATCAATCCGGCCACAAAGGTTTGCTATTATTGTAGGTATGTCCTAGAGTTGAGAACCTAATGACCAACTCACTGCTTAGGTCGTAATGTGCTTTATTTGTGATAAGTTTACCCGTGTAAACAAAGTGTAATATCCCGTTATGTTCAACAAATGCTGTATCCATTGATCACAATTGCGCGAACAAGGTAGCCATAACAGTTGGGAACACAGTTCCATTGTCCGGGCTGTGTAATGCTTTGAAAATCGACACGAATGAATATTACAGTGGTTCGTACAAGTAAGAACCCAAAAAGAATATTCTAGAATAAATGTCTACTTAGGGTAACAAAGTGTGTGGTGTATGAGAGAGGGTAAATGGTTGCGCGAACGCCATGTTCGTTTAAGCGCACGCCACCATTGCTCCTCAGCCAAGTTAACTTGTGACAACAAGTAATGGATTCAGCCGCCTCGTAAAAAGGTTTCAGTCACATGATCAAGATGGAGTGGACTTTTGAAGCAGAAGCACTCGTGATGGTTGCAAGTCTGGTTGTTTTGCATTAAGTCCCACAAAGATATGAGTAATGTGCATACGGGTCAGTGATTGTTACAGATCCTATGTATACGGTATCATACCATGGGAATGGAATGTGCATGACCCATCAAAACACTGACATAGAATGCGCGTCATGGAATTTTCATAAGGTAATGAGGGGAATATAAATCTACCCTGAACAATTTACGCTGACATCCTCAACTAGCCACGGAGCTACATATTGCCAGACACAGAAACAGCCTCACCGGATTTGGCTAGTGTAGGTGTAGCACTAAGTGACAAGTCCAAGGTCGCACTGCTGGATTGGTTCCCGAGTAATAGCCGACTGCGTGAAGTTCGACTTCGGAATTCGTGTTGAATCAACAAGCATCGCGAGGAGAGACACAACTCGTTTATGATCTCGGTGTACGCTTCTATTGACTGCAGTAGTGGCACGGTCAAGGACCAGTTTTATCGAGAGCTTCATTGACTCTCGAGCAACACTGATAAATCGGATGTCGGTGTCCTTGCCGGGATTTCAATGCACGGGAGTATCATTTTGATGGTCATTACGCGCTCGATAAGGACCGCTCGAATAACGGAAAGAGACTGCTCACATTGTGCAAAGACAACCACTTGTTTCCCTCGAGCGCAACTTCAGACATACGAAGAAACGTTCCGCAACTTGGCGTCCCCGTTCACTAACCCTAGCGTAGTCTCAAAGTGATCACATTGCAATCAGCGTGACGTCGGAGCAGGTCGTTTTGGTCCACCTACAAATCAGATCATGCGCCGGTCTATGCGGAAATCTGCATGGGTTTTGGAGCATTCCCAAAAACGAAGCAAATGAAGATTAATGAGAACAGTCCAGGCGAGCTATCAGTCTTCACTGACAGACGCACTTAGTTGCAATCCACCGCAAGAGATAGAGCAACATTGGAGTTGTATATGGAAGGCAATGACAACTTCCGGACAATCAAGCAGTGGTTTAGCTTGATGCCCCTTAAAGACGGTTCTCTGCTTGCTCTCTGGAGCTGTCCGACCACCGCAGATATCCCAGCAGTATCAGATTACAATGAGCGGGGCCGCTCTAGCAAAGCCTGCGCAGGGATCGCGAGGTTTGATGGTCGGAGCGTGCTTCGGGGATGAAGACCGTTGCCCTCTCTCGTAAAATCCGCAAAAATTTCCGACTCATCCAGTCCATTGGCTTCAGGAAGCCCGGTAAGGTTATTTGAGATACGGATGGGTTTCCGATCACCAACCAGCAGAGACGTCTGGACTGCTGGGCTGAATACCTTCATTCGCAGTATAACTGGGGCGCACCGCACACTACGCAGTTGCCTACGCTGGCGCATTTCACTGGATCCACCCAGAAAAAAGGAAGTCCGTTTTGAAATTAAACAACTGAAGCGATTCATGACTATCAGCTCAAATCGGCTTCCTTCAGAGCTGTACAAGTATGGCGGCGTGGTAATCTAACCAGCTGACTTTGTTGTTCTCTGAAGTCCAACAACGATGAAAAATTGCCTTCTTCCTGGGATGAATAAGCTACAGTCCCAATTTTCTAAAAAGGCGCCCATACTTAATGTGTCAACCATCGAGAGATTAGTCTTATTTCGACTACCTTTGAGCTACAGGCATGCGTAATGCCTCGCACACTGTCCCGGATTCGTGAATCATACCACCATGACAAACAAGTTGGTTTCCGTCCGGGTGGCAGGTGCGTGAAAATCTTCATGTCCTGCTAACTCCTCGAACACCGCAATCTTCATCACAGGCCCAACAACGTACGAGCTGCATTAGAACCGGTTAATCATCATCATCATTACACGTTAGCTGGAGGTGGAAAACACCTCAGCTATTGTGCCGCAATACAAAAGATAAGAAAAGGAAAACAAACGGTGGCACGCCCGCTGAGTCCCCAGTAACGGATGGACATCCTTCCGGAGAGCTAACAGCTGGCTGCCGTAAAAGAGTCATATTATACCTATCAGGTGAGATCATGATTGGATGGGGATGCTAAGCAGGAGGGGGATGGACAAAGAAACTCACAAAACAAACGCCATTGGGGCCGGCTCCAAGCCATATCAGCGAGTGTGTCCAACCAAACGTGTTCACCATCCTTAGGACCCCAGCCAGGCAATCGGGATGCACCAACCGACGCCAACTTCGAAGTGAGGGTTTTCATTCCTCTCGACCAAGTCATCACTTGGCCTCCCCTCCTCCTCTTCGAATCGCACCCACAACGCGCAAACAATGCACGTCGCGGGAGTCGGTGTGCTGGCATGCGCAACACGTGGCCCAGCCATCTGAGCCTGGTGCGTGATATAATCGTGCTGAGCCGTTCACTCGCTCTTCCTACACCAAATACGCGACACCGTACACGCTCATTGCTCACGCGGTGCTCCCACCAGACATGATCTAAGCTTCGAAGGCAGCGATGATCGAATATGACGAGCCTCTTCATGTCTGTCGACCTGATGGGCCAGGTTTCACAGCCATATAGGAGAGTTGAACGGACGGCTGCGTTGTAAACTCTGCCCTTCAGGGCGAGAGTAATGTCGCGTCTGCGCCATAGGTGACGGAGATTGGCAAAAGCACCTCGAGCTTTTGCTATACGGTTCGTAACCTCATCTTCAATCCCACGGGTGCTAATATAGCTGCCCAAGTACTTGAATTCCTGAACGACTTCTAGCAGATCACCACCAAGCGTTAGCGCAGGGTTGGGTCCCTGTCAATCTTGGAGAAGTACTTTGCATTTCGATGGAGCAAAGCATAGCCCAAAATAATTGACAGCCAGTGCTAATCGGTCCAGTGCTATTTGGCATGTTTGGGAGCTGTCACAGATTAGGGCAATATCGTCTGCATACTCCAAGTCAAGAATTCGCTCACCAGGAAGTAGCTCCACACCTTCTAGGTCGTGTCCAGCGAACGCTGTTTCCATGACTTCATCAATAGCGAAGTTGAAGAGGAAAGGCGA